CCCCTCCCCCAGCCCTTACTTCACTGTCTCCTCCCTACTTTCAGTCTTACTCCTATGTGACTCCCCATTGAAGTTCAACTTTCTCTCATAAGCCTCCTCGGGGCACCCATGCCACACATACTTTGTAAGAACATATTTTGGCGGTTCCTGGATTCTTCCCTGTTAATCTGAGCAGGTCTGGTACGCCTCAGAGTCTTGCCAAACACCCGCAGTGGTGGGCTCCATCCCTGTGCCCCGAAGGAACGACGGAACAGTTTTCTCCTAAAAGGGTTTCTCTGCCAGGGGCATGGACGTGAATTCTGAGTAGAAAGGGCCTCCCCAGCCTTTCCTGCCGCCTTATCAGCTGAGTTCGAGAGTGGGCCCTCCAGCCTTCTCCAGGGGCGCAGGCTTAGGAAGCAGGCCCCTCTGACACCCTGGCCTCAGGCGGAGCCTCTTTCCCTTACCTGCCTCCAACATGCTGCCTCTGGGGAGAAACAGCTAAGCAAATAAAATGAGCCCCTAAGGAGAGGAAGTGGGGACAGACGTGTCCATTGCAGCAGAGAGGGGACTGTGGGACCGCGGAATGTAATCACTTCAGAGCTGCCCCAGAAGCAGCCACAGCACCACCACCGAGGAAGATGACCCAGCTCCTTGACCCTTGGACCCTGCAGGGAGGGGAGGGCACCGTCGTCAGCTCCACTTCACCTCCTCTAAGCTCTAAAGGCTGTCAGCACAGCCTCCTCAGAGCTCAGCCGGACTTGTAGCAAGTCCCAAGGAGCAGCTAATGGAGCAGGGTAGGGGGAAGGGTCCCCAGTTGGGTCTGTCTAGTGTCTGTCTTGCTAATAGCCCAGCAGAAGAGGCAGCCGCCACCTTAATTAAATTCACAGCTGAAGTGATGTGGGGAGGTGGTGTGAGCATCAGGGAGACGAACTTTGCAGCCTAGAAAGGAACTGGCAGGAAATAGCAGCTTTCACCTGGGAGAAAGGCAGCCAGCTCGCCAGGAGGACGTGGGTCCAACAGCCGACGCCTTTGCAGGCAGGCCAAGGGTGTCAGTGTGTGCCTCGCTGCTCCCCCTTCACTCGATAGGTCTGAGGGCAGGAATCCAACCACAGAAGCCAGCGGCCTCTGCCAGGGATGATAAAGGAAGTGGGAATGGATGGGAGGGCCTGTGAAGAGGAGAACTGTGCTTCTCTGGCCTGGAGGAACACAGCTTTCTCTCCCCCTTCTTTCCTCTCAATGAAATGTGTTCCCTCCATCCTGTACATTTACACTATCTCCCTAATAAGCGTGTGGTCCCTGCCATGGTGCCTGGCTCTTGGTCAGCCTACTGATGTTACTGAGGCACAGACTTTTCCTCCTCCAACCTAGGCAGCCTGCATGGTGGAGGAAGCTGTGATTGGATTTGGAAGATCAGGTCCCGGTGCCGACTGGCTCTGGGAGCTGGTGGCGCCCCTGTCCTCAGCTGTAAGACAGGGTTGATGATGTCCTGTCAGAGTGTGGCCACAGTGAAGATGACCTGAGAAAGACAGTGGTTGTGCTTTGTAGACTGTGAGGCTGCATAGCTAAAGGTGAACTGCCTCTTGGCAAGTCATTAATTGTGGTGTTGATTTGGGGTCTACACCCTTCCTTCACCCCTCTGAGGTCAGGAGAGGGCAGACTCCTCAATGTGCCCACCAGTGGCCATCTTGCTGAGGCTGCCAGGACAGAAGAACCTTTCCTTTTGCTTTCCTGGGTGACCTACTGATCTGTTTCCAGGTCAGCAGCTTGGGAGGGAGACAGTGACCCCGGCCCCAAATTGAGGTGTGGGCAGTGCACAGGAGAGGGGTTAGAAGCAAGTCCCCTGAGCACTTCACTTACACCCTCCCCTGCCTGTGTGTCTTTGTCTCCGCAGGTAAAACAAGTCCCAGTCCTGCCAAGACCAGCAATTGCGTGATTTCCTGAGCCTTGGGCCTGCATTGGGCGGGACCTGTGGATGCCCCGCTGTCCTGTCCTGGGGAGAACACAGGTCACACCCTGCACCAGTTTGCACATCAGACCCCTACTGGCCTACCTAGCAGCCTCCATTCTGGCCTCAGAGACCCTGAATCCCAGCTGTGAGGGTCTGCAGCATCTCAAGACAATCACCCACCTCCACAAGACCAGCGGTGGCCGGGCAGGGGTCACTCCTTGTTTACATGAAGTGGAAGCTTGACTAGTGTCCGCTCTCCTTTATGCCTGAACCCTCCCTCCACTGGGCCAGCCTTGCCCTGCAGGGCCCCAGATGGGGTGAGCCCATATCTTTATACGTTAATGTGATAGGGTCTCCATGGCAGCCCCAGGCCCCTGACTTCTCCTTCCCTGGGCTTCCTGGTGCTTCTGGTCCCCCCAGCAGGTTTGGTGGAATAAAAGGGAAAAGGACGGCTCTGAGCCCGGGACCCAGTCTTGCCCTGGCCTCTGAACTCACGGTGGAAGATGCTAGGACAGCTGGGACACTGGCTGATGTGGCATTGCTGCCTGGGTCCCTGCAGCTCTTGCACTAGGCTCTGAATGGGATGAGGGGAAGACCCCCCCCTCCCCCCACTGGGAGCCAGTGGCAGACCTTGACATGCCTTTTTGAGAGCCCTTGTCCTGAGGTCTCCTTTCCCTCACTCTGCACCAGCTTGGTGCTCTTCGTCCCGAGGAGTCCTGGCCTCTTTGGCTATTGCCTGCTGCAAGCCAATATGGGGGCTCTTCTAGTGCCTTTACCCAGGGCCACTCCCTCCCCCTAATGTGCCTTGATTTGCAGCCCACGGCAGGGAAAGGAAGCTTGGCCAACAGGCTGGTTCAGGTGGTGTGTTTGCCTTTTCTCCCACCCCCGGGAACCCTCGGTTTCCTTCACCAGCTGGGACTTACACCCCTTCTCTAGTTACATTTTAGCCAAAGACCAGCCTTAGCCCCCTAACACAGCCAAAAGTCAGGCTGTGTTAGGACCCTCCACCTCCCCAAAGGGCCTGATTGCCGGGATGCCAGGCCAGGAGACCACCCTAAAATTGCACACTGCCCCCACACCACTTGTGACTTGGTGCGGGGCGGTTCTGAGGAGAGAGTTTGTAAATGTGCCAAACTGCAGGCTCTGAGCAGGACCCCTCGGGCGGCAGCGTGCTGGGGCTCAGAGCCCCTGCTGTGAACACACCAGGCAGCAGCCCGTCTCAGCCTCTCACTTCTGAACCAAACTCTTGTCCTCATACTGTCCCTTCTGCAAAACCCTGGGGCACCAGCAACGACTGGGAGCGGGGCCCAGATGTCTGAGGCTGCTGATTTGAGAGGCCAGCAAGGGGAGCCCGGCTGTGCGGAGGCGAACAGATGTTCCTTGAGGAGCAGGAAGTGGGACAGCACAGTGCAGTCCTTGGAGAAGAACCGGGGGTGGGGGGCGGGGGGGGTGAACCTGGTTCCCAGGACTGCTCTGCTTATCCTGAGGTTAGCTTCTAGGATGTTGGGGGGTGGGGCAAGGGACCCTGACCCACCTCCCTGAGCTTTGGTGAGAATTAAACATTTCCTGGGAAGTGCTTCCTTAGGCACCAAGGCCTGGCAACGTGGCACGTGCTTGCTCTGGAGGGAATGGAGGGAGGAAGAAGGCGGGGGGAGGGCAGGGGGGCTTCATCGCAGCTCCAAGCCGTCACCTGGATGGTGTGGGACATGAGGTGGGTAAATCCCAGTAGGGGAAAGAGATGACCATTGATGAGGAAAGTGGACACCTGGGGACGGAGGGGGGGGGCGTCTCCTAAGCAATTCTGAGGGCTGCTAGCACCTCCCCTTGCTGGAGAAGCAGGCCTCTGTCCCCCTTCTTTTCTCCTGCCCCCAAACAGGCCCAGTTGTCTCCCTGCCCTGACTGGTAGGAAGTTCCCAGTCACTGCAGCCTTGAGCCAGCCCATCCTGCCTCAGTTTCTCCGTGTGCCACGTTGGGGTTAGTCTCACTTCCTCATAGAAACGAAGGGAATGGGAGACCGTGTGCTGAAGAGGAAGCCACGCAGTGGAATGGGAAGAGTACTGGCCTGTGCGTCACCTCTCCCTGCGGTCCGTTTCCTCATCCCCTTACAGAGCTTTGGACAAGACGGCCTCTGACTCCCCTTGAGTTCTGAGATGCTTGTGAAGAGACAGTAGTCTGAAGATTGCTGAGGATCTTCAAGTCCTAACATGCGGTCCTAATGTTTGGTTGTTGGCCTGAGCTCCAGCCCACTTCATTCTGCCTCTTGGCTTCTCAGTTTTTAGTACGTCTGCCCTCTGTTCTAGCACTTGCACACACTTTATGAAATATTCTCTCTCATCAAATCTCGAGGGTACATCTGGCTTTCCCAGTTGGATGGCAAGTTCAAGGGCGGATCGTGCCCTTGGTTCCTCTGCAGCAGCTTGCACAGGCTGGTAGCGTCAGAAGGGCTGGGGAGGAATGGATGAGAACACGCAGCATGGGGCCTGGCTTTGCGGCCCCTACCCACCACCAGTAGCAAGCTGCCCACTTTCTGAGTCTGGCTTCTGCAGGGTGAGTGTCAACAGCTGGTCCAGCCACTTGACAAGGCTGACCTTGCACGAGTGGAGGCACCTAAGAGCTGAGCCCCAGGGCTGCTGCCACCGAGAATCCTGCCCCATGGGGGCAGGAAGCATGGGACTCCTGCAAAGGACTGGGAGGCGTTCCCTTGGCATTTGGCAAAACTTCCCTGTCTCCTTTGTCAACTGTCTGTCCTATGGTTAGTCCCATCTCTGATCTCTCAAGGGTGCTTTTGAGAGCCTCTGCTAACACCACGGCCCTCTGCCTGTATAGAACCTAATAGAAAGTCTGCAGGGAAAAGGTGACCTTGAGATATGGAGGGAATGGGCCTTCCTTTTTTTTAATGCTGCTTTTCTTATTTTAATTTACTGAGCACCTACTATATTCCACTCACTGTGCTATGTGCTTTAGTCACCTGCAGGTTTCAATCTAAGAAAAGCTCAGGAAAGAGCACTTAACAGCGTTAACAGAAAGTTTTCTTATATACCAGGGGTGCCAAAAATATGTATACAAGTGGACGCTTTGGTCAACGTTGCTCAAGCAGTAGTTCGCCGTAATGAAGTGCCTGGACGCTGATGGTAACCACTTTGAGCACCTCTTGTAATAGCAGAAGTCAAACGTGACTTGTGTTCATCTTTTGTTATCAGTATGTATTGAGTATCACAATTTTAATACACTTTTCCTTTCTTAAAATGAGTATACATTTTTTGGCATCCTCTGTATTTGGGGATTAAGCCTCACAAAGTTGTGTGATGAGCAGTGGAGGACTTTTCCCCATGAGGAGATACAGGAGCCCTCTGTTCCGGAGTCCAACATCTCATAAAATGCAGATCTAGCTCAGGGTTTCTCACTTTCAACACTAGTGACACTTTGAAGCCACTAAGTTCTCTGTTGGGGGAAGGGTTGACCACATTATAGGATGTTAGCACCTCTGGCCTCTACCCACTAAATGCTAGTAGCACCCCTCCAGATGAGACAACCAAAAATGTCTCCAGATGTTGCCAAACGTCCCCCAGGGGGTCACATCGCCTCAGGGGAGAAGGACGGCTCTCTGTAGCCCAAAGACCCACAGGACACATTCATGTGTACCCTCCCACCGCGTAAAAGGCCCAGAGAGGCTGACTGACTTGCCAAAGATTGTACTTTCTGTGACTGGCATAATAGCATCTTCCATCTTTGTTCTAGTTAGCTTGTTAGCTCTGCACTGTCTTGTACTCCGCGGAACAGGTGTGTTTATATGCACACACCTGCCTTACTCCACTCAGCGTCCTGTCACATTTCCTCCCAATTTGTTCTCCTTCCTCAGTTTCAGTTAAGTCTTGCACAGAAAGCACCATTGGACACGCCTATGTGTGCCCACCTCAAAAGGTAGCCAGTGCTGACAGCAGAGAGCCTGTCACGCTCCTCAAATCACGCCAGGTGGGAGTTCCGAACTGGTGTGTCACACTGAAGATCGACAGAGCTCCCTCAGCAGCTAATTAGCCCTGCCGTGCACCGTAAATGTAGTTTATCATCTAGCTGTGCACCACAGTCAATCTCCCCGCCTAGAGAACCCAGTGCCTGTCGCTGTGATCGTCTGCACTGCTGTTTTGGTGGCAGGAGCTTTGATGCAGAACAGGCACCCCGGGCTCAGCGAGTGGAGCCAGACCAAGTTTGAGAGGATGTGCACCTTAGAGAAGACTGAGAGGTGACAGGTACAGATGCGAGAGTGTTTTTTTTGTTTGTTTTTTTAAGATTTTATTAGGGGAGTGGAACAGGCTAGTTGCTGTCCTTTTGTTCTTCAGTCTAGTTGTGGAGGACGTCGCTTCACTGGCCCCATGTTGGTATTATCATTGTGCTCTTCCCAGGTGAGGCAGTCACTCACTGGCCATTGGACAGCCGCTCACGGCAGCTCACGGCAGCTCACGAAAGTGCACACCAGCTGCCAGCCAGCCCCGCTGCAGCCTATGCCATCACTGGCGACTCATGGCAGCCCAGCTCCAAGTTGAGCTGTTGTTGTTCACCATCTTAGCTATAGAGAGCGCAGCATCACTGGCCCTAATGTGGGATCCAAACTGGGGCCCTGCTGCTCAGAGCTGGCATCTCAAGCCGACTCCTAACCGACGCGCCACTCGGCTGGCCCACAAGAGTGTTCTTAGGCTGAGTACTCACTAGGTCAGCCAGAAGGAAGGCCTTGAGAAGTGAGGCAGGCCTGAGCTCCTCACCCTGCCCCTGCGAACCTTTGCCTTTCCAGCTATGGACTGAGAAGGCCCTGCTTCTCGACACCCTCTCAGGTAGCATGTGCTGCCACCTGGCACAATAGGTACCCATTTAGGGGTTCCTGAGCCTGGAGACCTGTATCTGTGTAATACTTATTTGTTAAATGATTAAACACTTGACAGAATAAGCCAGGACAGAATCAACGTGAGTGGTGTCAGAGGCTCCAGAATTGATCAGGACCTTTTTAGCCTTGTTCCTGACTTCTGAGACTGTCCATGGCAGCCACACAGGATTCTGCTCTGTGCTATTTAATTCCTTAAGGACTGGGTTTATCGAAAGCCCTCCCTGATCAAACCCTTTCCTCTGGGAAAGTTCCTGTCAGTGTGTGTCCTCAGTGGACAGTCTTCATCTCCCCATCACTCCAGGTGTGGGCCCAGGTGTCCAGGCCTCTCTGGATGCGCAGAGATGGCCCTGTCTGCACACTTTCTTTCAAAGGGCAGGGGAGGAAGAGATAGACCTTGAAGTGATGAAGTTTGTCCAAAGTCACCCAACAAGTCATGGGAAGGGCTAGAATCTGGTTATCTACACCCTCCTAGAGCACAGTCATGTGGCCTCTCTTAAGTGACAGCCAGCTGGAGACAAGGTTTCTTCAGAAAAGTGGCTAGTTAGGCATTGTCTGCAGCCTCTAAAAAGCAGCTTCAGGAACAGATGTCCACACCCTAGGAGACCGGCTAGGACCTGCCACGGAAACCAGCAAGTGCGTGGGAAGCCTGGAGGAGGAAAAAGCAAGAACAGGCAGTGTGTCCACAGGGGCCACGGTCCCCTGGGCGCACGCAAGGGAAAGAGCTCATCCTGTGCTAAGGACCAAGAACCGTGCCCGGCGATCGTCATTTCCTGCGTGCAGCTTGGACTCCCTGGCTCATGTCTTCCTGGAAGGTCTTGGACAAGGAAAGGCACTTCCTCGCAGTGTTATTCATTTGTTCATTCACTGGATGTTTTCTGTGCACTAGGCCTGGGGAGGCCTGGTGAGCTAGGAAGGCTCTGGTGGTGCTGGTGGATTTAGGGCGCTGTGGGGGCGTGCCACTTGCTGTGATCTTAGCTGAGGCATGTGGTGGCGAGAGGACAATCCAGAATGGGCCGACTGTGGGGAGTAAAGCACTTAGCACAGTGACCCATCGGAGGAGCTCAGTAACCAACATGCTTCCGGTGGTGTGTTGCATCAGGCGCTTGATTATTTCCTTCTGGGGACATTCTCCCCCGGCTTCTCTCCCTTGCTCCATCCCTATATATCTGCCACTTTCATGCTGAGTACTTGGCACACAGGGCTAAATGTCCATCCACCTGGAGGAAGTTTCAAGGCTCAGGTTTTGAAAGAAGGTGGAGAAAACCTGCCATCAATGAATGCCATGTGTGAGCTGCCCTACCTGTCATGGCCCTGCGTTCGCCTGGTGCACACCCATCGCCACCTTGGCTCCGTGTGTGTGTTAATTCTGGGAGTGGAAGAGGGTCACAGTTTAGCTGGCTGTGCAAAAGTCCCACAACTGTTCTTGATATATAGTTTTGGGTGAAATTAACAATATTAGTTTGGAGAATCCTCCGTATATAAAAAACAAATTAAACCCCAAACAAAAAACTGCACATCCAGAAATCCTGCCAATCTGCACCGAGCCACT